CTTTACGAGTTCGTTGCAAAAAAGAGGACTATTGAACTGGTTGTCTAAAAATACAACGAAAAAAACGTAAACCAATATTTATATCGGGTGAATGTTGAGGTAGTGAGCAATTGACACACACAAAAAAATATACATTTACAATTTTCTGAAACGCTGAATTAGAGCGCAGATCTTGAGGAGGAGGAGGGGAACGTACGGAGGCAAGGGCATGCCCTCTTCCTTCCCCGCTAAATTTAGCGAGGAAAATTTTCCGCTAAATTTAGCGGGAAAGCTCACCCTCTTTACGTTACATATGGCGTTACGGGGGTACATTTAGCAGGAATATTGGCAGTTAGACGCGTGTGACGTCGCGTAACGCCATAGGTCACGTGCTTCCTAAATTGACGTCACACGTTGCGTCACGTGTGACGTCACGAGGGTAACCCTCATGACTTTCGTAACGTTCGTGAGAATAACCCTCGTGGCCCTCGTGAGGATGACCCTCGTGATGTCACACGTGACGTCACGTGTGACGTCATTATGGGAAACTTCCCATAATGCAACCCTCAGCTACGCCGACGGCGACGCCGCTCAAGCCCGAAAAAGGCGCCTAAAAGCTGCGCTCTCAAAAAAAAAAAAAAAAAAAAAATATAGAAACCTTTATGAAAATCTTTTTTTTTAATGTCAAATGTTTTGGGCAAGATATAAATAATTTTGTCATACTCATCAACTCGAACAATATATTTATGTTTGAAGCTACATACTGATAGTTGTTTTATGTCCGAGTTCATAACGGTTCAGTATCTATACGAGAATAAGAATATGAGGCAAAATTACTCGCGGTAGCGACTCCGCGATTTTGAAAAAAAATAATCATAAAAGTTAAAACCAAGCTTTTTATTTTTGAAAATAGTTCGTAATGGTCTTTAAAAATTGGAAATATACGAACACTGTAAAGAAACTCAACAGGTTGTAAACAACGACCAAATGTGCGAAAAGACGTGCGTGTGTTCGTAATTATATACGTAAAGTTTTTTTTTGTTTTTTTTTGCTGCGCTATTACACTTTGTGTTTGTTTTTTCGTAAAAGTTGATCGATGTATTCTTTTTACCTTGGCTGCCCTACGGCGGCCGGCAGTATCAGTAAATAAATAAAAATAAATAAATAAAAGAAAACTAAATCGCGTTTTTGACGCATTCCATCAGGTGGCACTTTAGAAGTTGTTCTATGAAGATTTTAAGTTCTAATTTTTTTGAAGGGGAGTTTCGTTGAATACGAGCACTTGAGCTATCCTAAAATTAAATTGTTAAAAATATATTATAAACGCATAGTTATTGAAAAAGAAATGAAATGTTATGTGGAATTCAAATAAAACCACCGTTACCCGTGCACAGTATTTGCAAAAGCGTTACCAAATTTGCTTCAGAAACTCTGAGACCGCTTTCCTTCAGCCGGTCTCAGAGTTTCTGACTCACATTACCGTGCGCTTTCCCAATGCCCACTAAAGTTACTCATAAAGAATTTTGGCTGGTCATTACTATGTATGCACATCGAGTGATGATCAATAAGTTATCTTGTACTCATCTATCCCCTAGGAATCTGCTGCGAAGCTGATCCAGAATTTGCATTCCTTCTGCCATTCTGCCATCTTTGGTTTTACTATATGCACAGCTAATTAGTGTAAAACTGAAGTTCTTCAGTAAAAGGTAAACGTGCCGCATCGACTCAGCCGAAATGTGAAAAAGAAACAAATAGCTAGTCTGTATCATCGCGGTGAAGAAGTGATTGCTGTGAAATCACTCAAGGAGCGATGAAAACAATAACGATGCTGAGCATTTATTTTTCTTTAGATTTTTACGAGTTACTTTTGATCGTAATAAAAGCTCCCGTCAAATGATTTCTGAAAACATATACCTAGAATTTCAATCTACCGGGCAATCGTCAGATACTTTTATGAAATACTATCGTGAATTTGTGTTTAATATGTTTCAAAAGGCTAATTAGACACTGCGCCTTTCTTTTCAAAACCGTATTTAATAGCTTCGTTAGATTCGCCTTTCCGGGAATCGTTATAAATAACTGCCCGCTTTAACCTCTCTTCTTTTTTTGCCATTGTGGGAGACGCGCCCATTTCGGTTTCAACCGCTGAGTTCTATCAAAACGAATCCATATAAAAAAAAAAAAAGGCTGTTCATACTATTGTGCCGCAACGGCGCCGTCCACTGGGGGAAACTGATGCGCGCTTAAATACTTTTGGTTCGCACAAAAGAGGGCTACGAGGGGAGACAGCAGACCTTGTTGAAGTCGGCGAGGTCCGCAATCTCGTTCCAGAGGCCCAGCATGATGTCCAGGTTCCTCTCGTGCCGGTCTCGCGAAAACTCCCCTTTGCCCTCCACGAGGGTCTGCCGCTGTCCCCGGCACCAGGCAGAATTACTCACGAGCACGGACTCGTGGAACAAGTGCTCTCACGTTTCAAAGTTTTTTTTTTTTTAAACGGCATTCGGGAGACGGTGAAAATGTGCAAAGACGGACAAATATTTGTAGTCACCGAGGGCGCGAAGAACGCAGGGTACGTCCAGAACGTTTCATGATCACTTGGCAGCCAATCAGATTGCAGCGTTTCTCAACGCTGCAATCTGCAATTTCGCAATTCCAAAACTGCGTTTCCGAGAAGGTGTGTAAACAGGAGCGACGAATCTAAGCAAAATACCAATTGAATATGATGCAAAGCGTTTTCAAGGTTCACTAGGATTCAGGTGACGCTTACATATTGCTGATATGCCCGTCCTGTCACGTATATGAAAATGACCCCGTCATGCATCTTTATGAGCGGTTAAAACATTTAAAACATAAAGTATGAACTACGTGGGCTATGAAAGTTTTTCTTTATTATTATTTCCTACATCGGGCAGCTTTTATCGCGTATTAAACTCTGGTGTCTCCCTACTTTCAAAGATTTGGATCGTGCGGGTGATGTCTTGAACGCATAATGAGCATCTTCGTACACATTCGTGAGCAGAAAGAATAAAGCGGTACTTATTTATTGCAAATCAGACTGTATCACGTGGCCTTCAATTTACTTTGATCGTCTACATGCACAAGGAGTTCCTGGTTCCTGCCCTCTCTTTTGGTGTTCCAGATGCCCTTTGTTCGTTTGGCACTTATATCCCCCATGCTGAAAAGCGCCGACGCCGTGTTCGCGCTAACAGTACCCAACAGTGCACTTAAATGCATTATGAAGCTGTTTTAACACTGTGTTTAATGCCATATATTCGAGGAAAAGAAAAACGGTAACTGGTTAATATTTTTGCCTGCGTGACTGAAAAATGTTCCACGCCATCTATCATGTGCGAATTATTCGTGGTGTTTTATATTATATTCAAGTGCAGGGGAAAATTTCACTTTCCTTTTTCCAAAGAAATGCTTCACCGGAAGTGAACTTTCGACTGGTTGCTGTCCGGTTCAATTTGCAACAGCACACTAGCGCCAGTGGCAGTAGGTCGTGGCTAGTGGACCTTCTAGCGTACATTATATTAACTCTATGGTCACAGATATCGCTGTGACTTGAGTGTATTCAGACATGACTAGTCATTTTAACATTATTTTTGTATCGGGTTTTGTGGGCTTTAATTGACTACTCATGACATGACTACTAATTTAATCGAAGAAGAAAATAGTATGGGGATCGCAGCTGGAATGAAATGCTTCTCACGACGTAAATATTAGGAAGATGCCATTTCTTGTAGGCAGAGATAAATTTATTTTGTGAAGCACGTGTTTTCTACAGAAAACTAAAATATTAATTTGTTGGGAATTGAGTGTCCCTTTAAAGGTTTACTTTTTTCATTTAAACGCACAAATAACTGTAAATGAAAAGCAAACAAATCTATATGGGAAAGTATCTGAAGAATCACCGAGCTACAATTTCCAGAAATATTTCTGCTTAGTAACAATGTCGCTTCTCGCGGGAAGCCATTGTTTTTCACGGAAATACCGTGTCGTTCCTGCAACATTCGTTGAGATTGGTGACGCGCGCTTTTGCGTGACAGACAAGCCCACGCCGAGTGGCGTCTACGCTTGGGCCCTGCGGTAGCAAACAAGTTGACGTCGTGTCCTTCGCAGTACCATCTTACATATGGTGGCTGTTAAACGACCACTCGAAATTTTATGTTTCGTGATGGCAACTTGGAACCATTCTATGCCCCGCTCATTCCAAGGCCGAAAGTGCAGTGAAGCTACGTTCTCGTCGCACCAACCAACAGCCTCCCTTTGATCAGCTGTCCCCGGCGCGTGGCTATGGGCGCGATCACGAAGACAGACGCAGGACCGGATCAGAAAGCATGTCTTCCACCGGACTGTCAGCTTAGGGCTGCACACCGACACTTTAAGAGACACGGGGTGTGTTCTTTCATTGCCGCAGCTAATGAGTATGAGGCGTCGTCGGAAGAACAAAGACCACGCCCTTCTTTAGCTGCTCAAAATATATGAAGGGCATCGTCTTCTGTCGCAGTAAATGAGCCGATAAAGTCCGGTTCACACACTTGCGACCTCTTAGAACCTTGTGCCTTGAAACTTAATACCTCTTACGACGAGAGGACACACTGGCGTCATCTATTGGGTAGCAATGTAAACTTGGCGGTCCGGCATATTTTCTATTTCTTTGGCGTAGTATCCTTTCTTTCATGGCTCGAAAAACTTTTGTCAACGTTATAAACGAGGCTTTTGTATAGGTATTATGCACATTTGACCTCGGAAATCCCGCAAAACCTTCGCTTTTGTGAAACGCAGTTCCAGGGTTACCGCATAGATGGTGCCAGCGTGTCAGTGTGTTTTCTCGTCCTAAGAAATTTTAAGAGGTTTCAACAGGTCTCATTTCTCTTGGTCGTGCTCGGTTTGCAAGAGTGTGAACGGGCCTTAAGAAAGAATGTCTCACAAGGAGCGGGGATATAGTAGGCCATGTATTTAGAAATCTCACAGTGACCACGGACGAGCCGACAAGTAAATAAAGGAAATTTACTCACCAATGCTAAGCATTCAAAGTCATGGCTGTCCAGATAGCCGTTGTTGTCAATATCTGCAATGCAAGAAAAACGTAACTTCGCACATTCACGGACGCAGGATTTTTATATCTTCAGTCGCTTATGGGCACAGGGTACCTAAATCCTATACTCCCCATGCATTTTAGGTCATATTGAGGAACACTTTTCTCGGTAATTATTGGGAGTAATCCTGTCATATATATGGATCAATTTGTTCAAAATTTTGTATTTTGTACACTAAATTAGAAGTAACAAAACTAATTAAAAATTAATTATTTTGCAATATTTGTATTTCGAGTATTGAAATCTTAGCTCTCTTAGTTTATTAAACATGTGCAACGCAAAAACTGTGAAGTGCATATTTTTAATTTTAGTTCAGTACTTTTGCACACCCATGTAGGTGGCAAGAATTAACAATCAACCTTTGATAATGACAGGTTAAAAAAATGGTACCTTTTTACTGAAAAACACTGTTTTAACGTAATTAAGATTAAAGTTAAAGAAACATGTAAACAACAAACTGCGATTGGCAGAAACACCTTTAGATTCGTTTCTTCAATTACCGACAACTTGGTAGTCATTGCTAAAGTCATGTCTTCGCTTTTCGGCTTATCGCCTTGCTTCTCGGGCCTCTTTTGTGACCTGTCGCGTCGCTCGGTCCGCCAAGTATATTCCCGTGCGGTCAACTTCCCTCAGCCACATGATGGTGTTCCACCCAGGGTTGAATCCACAGGACATCAACATATTAGCTTGTGCGATGATACCACCATTAAATGAAACAACACGATCCAATGTCCCCATTTTGTCGTCCCAAAGCACAGGCGTTTGAAAGTACACGCGTGGAAAAAACATGCCCAGCGTCTCGGGAATGTCTTGGTTAAAAAAGAGGTATGCAATAGTTGCCAGATACACTTTAAGATGTACATACCTCATTCCGAACATGCTTTTAGGTCTATGTTCAATTTTTTTTTGGAAAATTTATCGATAAAGAGAGAGCGCATTCCAAAAAAGAGCTTGGTCACCTCACCAGCTACTTCTCTCGGAAAAAAGTGTTTTGTACTACCGTATTCGTGCTACGGTATGCCGCCTGTCCAGCTAATCCTCGAATCGATTGCCGTGTCGCCGTATTTCGTACGAAGCACGGATAAAGGCCCATTCCCATATATTAGTGGCGTCCGACTACGTTGTATGAACTGACCCCGAGCCACCGGGACGTTGCTGCTTAGCACGAAGCCTTACACGGGACATACGAATCACGCTAGTTCTGACAACTCGCCGTCGTAAGTTGTCGTACCGTATACTCGTGCTCCAATCTGTGAATCGGTCTTCACTCGCGGTTGTGGTGGTCCCTAGAAATCTGCATAACGTAGTCAAGCCACGCCGTCTCGGGACAAGTCACTTACGGGTACCAAGGCCGCTCTTCACGAATATTTCTGCAACTGTTGGTCGAACGGGTCGGCGATTTTAAAACCTATTACATACTTTGATTTTCATTTTTTTGCAACGGGTTCTATTATTAGGAGGCAAACTCCAATAATACGCGCGCGTAATCCTGCTAGCCCCATAAGAAAACACGAGGGAAAACGCACAACACCCAACAACTGGAAGTGATAATGGTAACATGACGCCGCCATGTTGTTTCTTGTTGTTTACCTCGACGATGGGTGTATTAGAATAAAATACTGAGCTAATTACGACATTACACGAGGGACTCAGAAGACTCACCAGGCATAAAGCAAAGTTCATAGAAGCTTTGGCACGTTCCAAAAAGACAGAAGGCGAATGAGAAGTAGATACGTGCAACTGATGCTGGTAATATGCAGTACAACGACACGGGACATTTGGCACAATATACCTGGGAACGCAAACTAGTTTTAACGTATGTTATTACGCAGATATAAAGCAGAGGTCTAAGAATGAGGATGCTGGTGATGCGATTAATATTATGATGAGAAGATGCGCCTTACGATAGTTCTTCCTTTTTCCCTCTTCGTTCAGGCAGTTGGTGCTGGTTCCGGAGCTATTTCTTTACGCGCGCTTATTTTTGCGCCGGTAGCAGCAGGGCGAATCCCGAACATGTATGTGAGGTTAAAAGCGCTAAAAACAACGGACAAGTAAAAGAAACGTACAACACAGAGCGCTCTGTGTTGTACGTTTCTTTTACTTGTCCGTTGTTTTTAGCGCTTTTAACCTCACATACATGGATCACCAACTAGCCCAATCGCATACGCTTCTACAGAATCCCGAACAAAAGCTCACCGGACAAAAGCGCACCCATTTTTTCACAGACCCGGACAAAAGCTCACCAGGAGAAAATTTTATGTTGTCTTAACACGAGTGCGGACAACTCAGGCGCATGCATGCGGCACTAAAATGCAACGATAAATTAAATCTGACAGGCGCAGGGTTTGCTCATTAGAATAGAAAATTCACTTCAAATATTACCCCGAACCCCAAGAAAACCCATGCATTAGTAATGAAGAGATATTGTGCCTAACCTTTACGTGCGCTTTTACGTGACATAAGTGCAATGACAAAGCGAGGTCACCAAAGGATGACTTCGCTTCGTCGGTCACTCTTCGGGTTCAAAAACTTCGGTTCACGAAATTTCTTGGGCGTGGCACATGGGTGCTCCGTCATACCTTGAGTCAAGCAAGCTTCATCTTATCTGCTCCACTAAGTTTCAGTGACCTAATTTTTGGTCCCAAATCGTTGCTTCTCTGCCTGTTATGGTTTATCTGTCGACACCTTTCCATGGGATGAGATGCCAGTTCTCCTAAAAATGGTGCAATGTCCATCGCGTCCGCACTTTATCCCAGTCCGTGTTTCGCCCGGGTAGCAAAAAAAAAAAAAAAAAAAGAGCTGAGCTTTTGTCCGGGCTTGTGAAAAAAACGGGTGAACTTTTGCCCGGTTACCCAGCGGGGCTGGTGTCAAGTGACCCACGGGCCGAGCTTAATTGGAAAGGCCGCGCCGACCTCGGCCCGCGCTCCGAGGGGTGGAGACCCCTGCTCAAGCAGCACAGAGTTGGCATCATTGGCCAACGGCTGGCAATGTTCCTTGGCCAAGCGGCCAGACAGTGGCCAGAGACTGGCCGGTGACTGGCCTTTATCTGGCTACTGGCCATCAACAATCGGCCAAGCTTTGGCCAATGCATGGCCACTGGCCAAAAGACCATCGCCAGACATTGGCCATTGCTTGGCCAAAATCCGTGCTGCTTGGGTGGCTTAGAGGAACGCGGAAATTTTGTATAACTTTCGGGTTCCATTGCGGGTCCAAAGTGTCTGCATGTGTTTGGGCGACGCACCGGCGCACCGACGGGCGAAGCAGTCGATGAGCTGACGTCACGGCAGTTCTCTAGGCGGCCAATCACGGTGTGTTTGGTGTTACAAACTATGACCAATAGAAATGAAGGAGGAATGGGGCGATGGGGTCGAGACTGCTGGGGCCCTAAGCTGGACGCTTGGCCAAAACGACGGCGAGAAATCTGGCGGCCGCGATTAGCCAACGCCAAACTTGACCTTGGCGCCGGCCAATCAGAGCAGCCGAATTTCTCGCCGACTTTTCCGCCAAGTGTGCAGATTAGGGCCCCTGTTCGTGGCTCTGGCCACCCCAGAAAAGGGGAAAACGCGCAGATATGGTGAATGATGTAATTATCCCCGCAAGATGTATTGATTATAAAGAATACTTGCCAGACATTGCATAATAAAGAAAGATTAAAAACGACATTACAAGTCAGAATACCAACACGGTTGACGTACAATTCAAGAAGTTCCTGCGCGTCTACTTACCCGCAAAACACTGGAAGAGCCAATCTCTGTGATCTACGTAATCAGCTCAGCGAATGATGAGGCGGTACATCCGCTTAAACCTTAAAATGAAGTCTGCGCTGTGGCATTACCCAATGCAAAGCGTCATGCATGCATTGCATAATGCCACAGCGCAGACCTTATTTTAGGTCTAAACAGATTTTCCGCCTCATTATTTGCTGAGGTGATTTTGTAGATTGCAGAGACTGGCTCTTCCAGTGTTTTGCGGGTCAGTAGACGCGCAGGCAATTGTTAGATCGTAGTAAACACATGTGATAACTGTATTCTTCCCTGAAACTAACAGCAGTGTATTTAAAAGCAAAGCTAATGGTCCGCTGTTTCTTTTGGCCTAGAATTGTTTTTTTTTTTGTGCCAGGAATTTACATAAATAATTTAATTTATTCTGCGGGCGACTTTACATATTTTTGCCAGCTAAAATTACATGAAATCTTGTCATATATCTTCCAATTCAAGGTTCGAAGATTTATCTTCAAACAAAAATTTTTGAGCTTACCCCGCAACATTAATAGGATAAGACTGTTGTGTCCTTCGTCTCATGCCTGCGACGAAGTATACAAATTCCGATTAGCCAGTAATGTAGGCATGAATAATGGGTTGTAGATACTTTACCCTGGCAAATGTATTCCCTTTTTTTAACTTATATACAAGTCACATCAACATATCTGTGTCATGCAGCAGACAGTTCGACGATCTGCAATGCTATCTGCGTTTAAGTAAGTCTGGGCAACAACACAACCTCAAAAATAAATTTTCTGCGTGAATGCAAGCAGTTCAGAAAGCTTCTTGTCAAGGGCTACTGCATCTACAACAGAAATGGAGCTGAAATTGTGGTATATTTCATCTATGAATCCGGCAATCGAAACCATCCTGTGCATTCATAAAAATACTATCCCGACACAAAGACGTGCACAGCACGTCGGCTTGGCGTTGGAGCAAAAACATACAGTGGGGAGACGGCACAAATGTTTCCACTGAAATGTACTACATATCCCGGCTAGTGCACACTCGTGTGTCCACCTTCACAAACGCCGAGAAGTCACCGTGCCGGCACCGCCACCGGCCGCCAGGGCCATGATTTTCACTCTCCGCCATCTTTACATCCAGACTTGCAAGCGCTGAGGCCTTCCTAGTATAGGATGTGTTGGCAGTGGTAGACGCCACAAGCGGTAGAGGAAGAAATATCTCCTTTTGTGGGAATTTTCACTGGA